ATGCTAGTGGGTATGTTAAATCAAGTGGTGATAGGGGCACAGTATTTCATAGTGGTTTCACATCTAGATCCGTTATTTAATGAGACATGTATTTGTTTGTGATATTTTACTCTTATCGCATAATAATATCATAATCCGAATGCTATGTTATGAAACCACAATAAATTTTCATCATAAAAATCTCTTTTTTTCCTAAAAAATAATACATCAAATGATAACATTTTAATTATATTTACATGAATTTATGGCGATTATATTGTATATTTTATTACCAATATCCAAAACACGTGTCATATTGGCAGCCATGTTGGAACCTAGTAATACTATAGGGGTATTTCAGAGTAGTTCCACATCTAGAATTGTTCAGTGTAATCTAAAGAACAATCATACCAAATTTGGTCCTTGTACCACAACGGGCACAATCATGTCACTTATCTGCCCATTACATATCTAAATCCATTCAGCAATGCCCGTCGCTGAACCCTTCCCTCCTCCCTGTTCTTACTCTTTCCGAATCTTTCTTCCCTGCCTTATTTCCTCTCTCCCTTATCCCTTCCCTCCTTAGCCTTGCCCGTCCCTTTACTCTCCTTCTTTTCTCCCCCCTTTCTCTCCTTAGCTTTGCCCGTTCCATGAACCATCCTATCCTCTCCCCCCCCCCCTTTCCTTCCACCTCCCCATATTCCCTTCTCAGCCTTGTCCGTTCTTAAACTCATTCTCGATACCTCTCACTCTTCCTTCCCTCATCCTTTCATCCTTCTTACCCCTTTCCCCCTTTCTTTCTCCCACCCTCCCTCCTTCGCAACCCCTATACATGTCTACCTTGAAGAGGAACTCATTGCTGCTGCCGACGAGGAAGCCGGGGACGAAGTCGTAGCGGGTGGCGTGCAGAAGGTCGATGAGTGAGTCTACGGGCCTCTCGAAGGACGGGATGGCGAGGAAGGCTGTCAGCGTCCCGGAATAGATGGCTGAGAGAAAAGGGTATCCTGGTACTGAACAGCTGACAGGAGGATACCTAAGAGATGGCTGACAGACTACGACGAAGAGTTAGGCAGAGTAAGAATATGATGAAAAGTACGACAAATAGTAAGAATATGATGAAGAGTAAGACAAAGAGTAAGAATATGATGAAGAATAAAACAAATAGAAAGAATATGATGGAGAGTAAGACAAAGAGTAAGAATATGATGAAGAGTTAGACAAAGAGTAAGAATATGATGAAGGGTAAGACAAAGAGTAAGAATATGATGAAGAGTACGACAAATAGTAAGAATATGATGAAGAGTAAGACAAATAGAAAGAATATGATGGAGAGATAATACAAAGAAGAGTAAGAAGGTCGTTCAGATATCTAGACGGTCCGTCCCTCGTAACGATCTTCAAGAGTGAAGTGCTTCCCCATCTGGAGTACTGTCACCCCGTCTGGTCCCCGAGATATGCTAGGGACTGTCAGTTGGTTGAAAATGTTCAAAGGAGGGCCACCAGACTGGTGCCTGCACCTCGGCACCTCAGCTACCCTGAGAGATTGGAGAGCCTGAACTTGCCTAGCTTATACTACAGACGAGCAAGGGGTGACCTAGTTGAGGTGTATAAGCATCTCAAGGGGCACTACTCAGTCGAGTGTCCTTACTTGGAGCTGGCGGACGCTCGCCCCACAAGGGGTCACAGCTCAAGATTGAAGAAGCCGCAAGTCCAGAAAACTGTGAAGGCAAACTTTTTCGGAGTGAGGGTTGTAAACTCTTGGAACAATCTACCAGAGAGTGTTGTGACGGCACCGAGTGTGAGCTCTTTCAAGACAAGACTTGACCAACACTGGAGCGGGTTCAGGTACATTCAGGAGCTGGTGCATGCCCAGTACTTGCCAACAGTGCGTGACAGAGACGTGACCGATCGCCCAAGCGGCTAACGAGCCGATCAGTGGCGAAGAGGATAAAAGGAAAAAAAAAAAGGAACACCAAACGATAGTATAAGAATGAAATAATGAATAAGATTAAGAGGAAGACTGAAAGATTAGCCACAAAAGAGAACTAATAAGACAATTAATAATGTTAAGTGTAAGAACGAGAATAAGAGGGACTATACTTTAAAAAAAAGTATTTCCACACTAACCTGGCCCGTAAGCCACGCCCCTCTTCTATAAATATAGCCGATTGGTTTATAGAAAATGTTCGTGTAGCTGTCAATTTATTCAAACAAAATTTGTTCACAATTGGTAAGAAGACCTGTTATTCTCTAAAATAATGTTAAATATTTGGAATATGAAAATGCAAATGATTTCAAGGCATTAACATTTCAGAGAGGAAGGTTAGAATATTTTAAATATTTATCATAAAAGGTCGAGGTCAATAATGAAATTCGCTTTCGAATGAAGTCTTCCCATTTCTTCTTTTGTTTTGTACCAAACATGAAGCAAACAGAAACAAATGATACCAAACATATAGCATAATAGGTAATGACCTCCAGCTTGTTCAGTTGAATATATCTCAAATCATTTATATAACTGATAAAACTCGATATAAATACCCAAATTTTGGAACAGGGCAGCAATATCGACAATACCTAGACTTGGCCAAGGCTTTCAACAGCGTACCCCATGAAAGGCTGAGAATTAAACTGGATTCGGGTAAGTGTCCTAGCGTAGGTCAGAGACTTTCTCTACGATCTCAAGCAGTGTGTATTGATTAATGGTAAGAAATCGTCAGGTGTACCCGTGATAAGCGGAGTATCACGCACAGGGCAGTGTATTGGTTTCATAAATGACATGCCAAAAGCTATACAGTCCTCCATACAAATGTTTGAGGACGATGTCAAAGGGAAATTAAGAACCAAACAGACTATGAAGAGCTGCAGAAAGATCTTTGTGAGGGTTCGAAGAAATGGCTGCCAAGATTCAATGTCACGAAGTGTAAGAGGATGCACCTGGGTCGTACCAACGGTAAGGAGGCGCATCACATGTCCCAACGGGACAAAGAAACTGCATCAATAGAGACCGAATGCGAAAAGGACCTCGGTGTGTATGTTGAAAATGTACTGAAGTTCTCGGTTCATTGTGAGAAGAAGGTAAATCAAGTAACTAAACTATTAGGTAGTATAAAAAGATCGTACAGATATTTAGACGGTCCGGTCCGTCCCTCGTGACGATCTTCGTGAGTGAGGCGCTTCCCCGCCTGGGGCACTGTAACCCCGCCTGGTCCCCGAGATATACTAAAGAAAATGTCCAAAGGAGGGCCATCAGCCTGGTACCTGCACTTCGACACCTCAGTTATCCAGAGAGATTAGAGTACCTACAGCTGCCTAGCTTATACTACAGATGGGCAAGGCCGGGTGACCTAATTGAGGTGTATAAACATCTCAGATGGCACTACTCAGTCGAGTTTCCATACCTGGAGTTGGTGGACGCTCGCCCCACAAGGGATCACAGTTCACAGTTGAGGAAGCCACAAGTCCAGAAAACTGCGAGGGCAAACTTTTTCGGAGTGAGAATTGTCAACTCTTGGAACAACTTGCCAGAGGGTGTTGTGACGGCACCGCGTATGAGCTCTTTCAAGGTCAGACTTGACCAACACTGGAGCAGGTTCAAATACATTCAGGAGCCAGTGCATGCCCAGTACTTGCCAATAGTTCGTAACAGAGACGTGACCGACCTCCCAAGAGGCTAACGAGCCGATCAGTGGCGAAGAGGATGACAGTAGCAAGTAAAAGTAAATGCTTATCTTCGAGATTAATCTAAAATTTCACTGTGCGTTTACGAGTAAATATTTATACAGACTATCCTTCTTGTTGTTTGTCCGAGAAGGTTAATGTACACACACCTTCACATTATGTTTATCCCACACTAATTGCACTTTGGTTCTTACCGTATATAATATAGCAGAATAAATACCAGGTGAAAAATAGTAGCCGCAGAGACCAGTTTTTTACTTGGATTTTATTTCCCTGCCATACCATACTCCTGTACATGTTGAAGGCAAGATCCTGCACTGATGAACGTGGTGGTATGGGTGTGTTCATGAGGGAGTGTTGTTCTTCATGGTTTGTGTAGGAGCGGAGAACAGTTGTCAAGATCCATACCAGAGGGCCCATGAGAGCTGTGGTGGCTGCTAGGAGGCTCCACATCTGTTAGGGAAGGAGGGAGACACAGGGGGTGTATTGATTATCTTACTGATTCTTTCTCTATCCACCAGTTACATTTTCACACCATTCTTCCGGGATCGATTTCTCATACCTTGGTCTATCACCCCAGATTCGATCCTCATGGTGCTATGTTCAAGCAATACTAATTATATACTTTTTAATACCTACTATTTTAATAAAGACCTAATGTAGAATAAAGTTACTACAAACCCCAGACAGCAAAGTTAGCCATCTTTGTTAAACTTGAAGAGTCTAAACTCAAAAGATTAATGATTATCACAAATAATACTATTTTCTCAGAGGGATGAATTGGAATATACATGCGTATAATTATAAATTTATAGAACAAATATAATACGCCTTTGTGGCCTCGTGTGTATTATGATGTATTCACGGAAAATTAAAAAATTTTATAGTTGAATTTAAATTTTAAGTACTACATGGAAGAATGAGATGCTTCCTGCTGATATAAACATCCTGCAGTAACTAAACGCAAAGTCTTAAAAAGTGTAATATCAATTCACAACATACAATTATTGCGAAAACAGATAGCAATATATATATATATATGTGTGTGTGTGTGTGTGTGTGTGTGTGTGTGTGTGTGTGTGTGTTGATACATTTTTATATATTTCAGTAGTTTTGTGTATATGTCTTAGTCTCACTTAACACCTGCAATTTGAATAAACTTGTGGAGGTCTACTGACGAAGGTGAAGGTACACCTACAAGAGGGGTGAAGGGAGAGAAGATAGCGAAGGCTTTGTTCTTAGGGGCGGGCGCTCGAGAAACCAAGATGGTCGACTCCAGGAAGTACGGATGTGTGAAGTCCACTACCTTTTCTCGCGAGGCTGAGGAGACGACCTTGAAACTAATCGTTGTTAAATAAGACTGGTCCCAAGATATCACTCTCATGGCTCAGTATGGCTGGAAAAATCTTAGGGACACACGTTGTGCACAATTTGTCATTTATATTTTTAAACATAATATAATAGGAATAAAATGATCTTCAAAGCAACAGCAATACGATAGAAAGTCTTAAGTTTTATCACATGATGATTCTTATTGAAAGTGAACTGTGGTGTCCTGTGATGAAGTATGAAGGCATAAGGTGACGGTGATTGGTGTTCACCCATGATTGCATCTACAGTACTTGTGACTTACCGGTGATGGTGATCTCGTTAATAGCAAGGTGAGCTTCGTGCCTGGCCACCATACCTATGATGCCAGTAACACTACCGTCAGGTTGAGGACCTCCCCACTGGCCGTCCTCCGGTTCAGCCACAACGTACCTGAACAAAATACTTCTCCCTTGCTTTATTTCAGTAATATTCCTCAATATTTTCCATCCAGATAAATTTTCGTGATCTTATTATTTTGATAAATTGGTAAGGGAAGATTTACGCATAATGAATAACATAGTAAAAAAAAAGTGTATACACTCTTATTTATTAACATACAGTATTCGTATTTCCACGAATTAAAACTCATTTTACTCAGTTTATAGTTGTAAAAATAATGGCCAAAAGGAAATTTCTAACTGGTCTTCCTACTTTTTATAAGAAATATTTTGTAAAAAGAAAACATTTATAAAAAATTGTCAGTCTTAAAACGAAAAATGTAGTAAACCTAATAAATACTCTTTGGCCATTTGTTTTACAGTAAAAAATTGAGTAAAATAAATTTCAAATCGGTCAATAAATAAGAGTCTATACATTTTCTGTATGAACGAAGTAAGTTTTTGCGTAAGGCACTGACAAAATTGAATCTCTTTTTGCACGAAAGTCTTGTAGTGGGCGTCACCACCTGCTACCGTCTTCCCTAGCAACCAAGTGTATCCGCATTCCAATGCCCGCCGTATCCTAGCAACCGAGCCAAAAGGCCGGCGACTTCTCGGGTTTTCCCAACATGACTCATAGCGGCTGCTGGGTATATAAGCTCTGTCTCTCCATTGAGATTCACCACTTTTTCTTCAATTCCTAATAATCTTCTTTCACCTCTTAACTAATGACTTCGTATCGTATCGAGATTCATTCTGACCATTCTTCTTGAACAAGCAACACCTCCTCCTCCGGCGCTGCCTGGCTGCCCTAGCCTCTCCTCGCCTGCCTGGCGGCCCTCGCTCCCGCCAGCGAGCATGGCGACCCACCAGCTGTCCTCTGAGCTTCCTCACCAACCAACTCTCAGTCTGACCAATCTTCTTGAACAAGCAACACCTCCTCCTCCTCCGCCGCTGCCTGGCTCCCTCGCATCTCCTCGCCTGCCTGGCGGTCCTCGCTCCTGCCAGCGAGCATGGCGACCCACCAGCTGTCCTTCTGAGCTTCCTCACCAACCAACTCTCATTCTGCCCATTTTCCTGAACAAGCAACATCTCCTCCAGCAAGCTCCTAGCTGTCCAGCATTCATTCAACCAGGAGGCCAGCAACAGGCAAAATCTTCTCTAACCAAGCTCCTGCACATCTACCTCCTTCAACACGCTACTCACCGAACGTCTCCACTGAGCAGCTCCACCACACGGCACCTCCAGCATCAGACTGTCTATCATATAACTTATATATTATACAAGAAAACCACATTAGAGTTTCCTTCCATCCTGAGTGCTAGACAACATTAATATCTCGATACCCCTACAGTCTCATTATAAGTAAAGATAATTCTGAATGAATATTAAATTCCTAATAAAATAACTAATAGTGCCGGCAAAGTCAAGACCAGCAGGACAGCCAAGTGATTTTTGAATATCCGGTAATATTATATTGCAATAAGGCATGATCACACACATACCTTAGTTCACCTAGATTACAGTTAGTAGGTGTGATTATAAAGCAAGCATCCCAGCGAGGGGTAAATTATTCCTCAGAATTCTCACGTAAAGTTGAATTTGTGACTGAGAGAGTTGAGTACACTAATGTCCAGCCCAGAGTCTGCCAGAGGCTTTCCATCCGGTAGGTAACGCAGACCGAAGAAAGGCCAGTTGTTGAGCACCGACACCACCAGTTGTCGGCCTCGAAAGTCCCTGTACAGGTGGTCCAGGGCGGGGAACAGCTGGGTCTTGAGGTATAAGTCAGAACCCTCCTCGCTCACCGTCAACACCCCACGATGCTCAAATCTGCAATATATAAACGAGGTTAAGATTTTTTTTTTAAGTTGAATGTTATACTCGACGGACTAAGCATCTAAATCCTGCACACACACACACACACACACACGCATGTTTCCCCTCTGCAATCCAATAATGCTGAAGCAACCCCCTCCGGGTCAGTCTTGACGGTCTGTACCCACTTTGTGCCTTCACATTCATGCCTGACTTGTCCACTCATCACCTACCACGCCTACTCCAGCCTCGGACTGGCCTCGCGAGTAGTGACTCCTAATGGACCCGAGGACGCCACCCCAGTCACTATGTGCACCTCCAGCATCCTCCCCCCTGAAACATCCCTGGACACTCCTGATGCGCATCACAGATCACTAAAATTATGTCCTTCACATTTGTCAAATTTATGCGCCCATTTTCCCACGCCACATCCTTTCCCGACCAAATATCCCTCCAGCTAGTGAGAGACCTCACACTTGACATTTTAGGAATCTACCACGCTTTGCCAGAAACAGATGAACTGTACAGGGAAGCCTCCCTAGACTGTATGTTGTGTATTTATTCTTCCCTCACTACAAGTAACTAACTAAGACTAAGAATGCAAGCACGAATGCTGCTTCCCTGTTGGGTGCTGTAGTGCTACTACACTTTACTTCACACAGGCTGTAAAGGATACCCAATATATTAGCTCTTGCGCTGTGTGGGGTGAATCTGAAAAAAAATGATACACATTGACCACCAAAACACTAGGGAAAGACCCGGACTTACCTGACAGTATCATCCACGTCGACGAATGATGTGGTAGCGACGTACTGATGGCCACCATCTGCCATCGCTGTCAGTACTGCCAACTGTAATATACACAGGGATTATTTGATTACCAAGAGTATTAATAGTTACTGTTAGGATTATTATTTATTCCTAGGATTATCTATTTATTGCCAGGATCGTGTTTAATTATTTAAATTATTTTTATATTTATTGCCAAGATCATGTATCTACTTATTTATTCATCTATTTGCGGTCTTTATTCAGCCACTCTCAACATCACTTAGCTACCATCAGTTATGATACGGTTTAGTGGATTATTTTAACTATACTACTGATAAGGTTGACACATTAACTACTACCACTCGTGAGACAATTTCCATTGCGGCACAGTAAAATATATAGTAGAGGAAGTGACCTGTGTTCCTTCCCTGAGAAGGTGTGTCAGGTGAGTGGACAGGTGTTGTGTCTCCTCCATCACCACCACCACCACCCACTGCACCGTCGACGACTCCAGGGATCGCGCCCGTACCTGTATAGACCTCACGTTAGAGTTAAATTCATTGTAAGTCGACCTAGAGATCCCGGAGTCAAGAGAACCGGTTGTGTTTGTTTGAAGAGAATAGTTCAAAATGTTTCCATTTTCTGATATTGAATTAATACAGGAAAAAACAAAGACGGTTAACATACAATGCCGATTTTTTTCTTAAATAAAAACCTCAATAGATATAATCATACCATCCTGAAGACATCGAGAATGCGCTCTGGCAAACAAAAGATGATCACAATGCGCATCTCCTCGCCTTCAGTCGTGGTGTGCAGTGCTCTTTCGAGGAAACCTAAGTCAGAGTCGCAACGGGTGGCCACCACATCTACCCACGCGTCTGAACACGTCTTCACTGCCGCGGCTGAACCTGAATTCATAATTGGAAAGGAGATAATAACCTAAAATAACAAGGTAGGTTAACGAGACAGATCAGTGAGCAAGTTTACAGTTAAGGAAGTGAAGGCGATCTGAGTGTATGTGGCGGCTATACTGTCCTCTACGTATACCGAAGAGGCTAGTCTACAGTACAGTGTACTGTATCCATACTGCCCCGAACGGAAAAGTCTTATCATAATACTCTCTGAATTTAAGATCAAGGCCTTATCTAACTTGATAGTCGTCCTTAGCTAGAAAACCTTTTAATTAGCCATGAAGATTGAAGACCCCCTATCCAGCCCTAAAGCACATGGTATCCTAGGAGCTCGTGTTAGCTGTGTTACACTCTAAAGTCTAATGTTAATGTTGTGTGTTTACAAATTTCACTCCAGGTTAGAGTTACGCGAGGGTGAGTATACCAAGCTTTAATATTCTCCACTGTGTGTGTGTGTGTGTGTGTGTACAGTTCAAGTGACCAGGTAAGCAGTGTACATCATACCTGGCCACTCAGAGTCGTACATAATATACAGGTGTCGCCGGGACGCTCCTCTTGCTAGGAACTTGACTAGTTCACCCTCTTTGGTGGTCTCTGATGTTGTCCCTGCCAACTTGCCGCCCTGTTGTACCACCACCCTGCTGAGTTGCTGTGCCGCCACTCTGCCAATTAAATCTGTCATTACGCTCCTGTCGGAGGCACACAAAAGGGTAAAACAAAAATTACTAGAGTAGGAGAGCGAAAAATGAAAGGAATTAGTCTTTTTTTTTTACCTACTACTACCTACCTGTTCCCCTGGAGGAGAGTCACTGCTGCAGGAGAGGGTAGGTTGGTGTTGGCTCCCATGGTTCCTGACGAGCGTGTGGGCGTATCTGTGGCCCTGGTTCTGGGTGTGAGTGATGGTGTGGAGCGGTTGATGGGAGTGGAAGGGGGTGTGGAGGTGTGTATGGGCGTGGGAGAGATGTTTTTAGGGTATGTGGGAGACACGTCTTTTGGGTATGTTGGTGTTGGCATGCGTATAGGGTATGTGAGCGTGGGAGACGCATTGGTAGGATACGTGGGCGTAGCAGAGGGCGTGGGGTAGTAGTAGGCAGCCGAGGGACTGTTATCCACACAGCATACCCAACAAGCTGTGGAAGAATATATATATATATATATATATATATATATATATATATATATATATATATTGTAGTGGACTTCTCCCCTACAACTGCGTAGCCGCAGCCACCAGATTCTACCATCTTCCCTAGCAACCAAACTGGCGGCAAGCGAGCGGCGTCACCAGATGTCACAGTATCCTAGCAACGGAACCAAAGACCGGCGACTTTATCGGGTTTTCCCAACATGCCTCATAGGTGACTCACGGCTGCTGGGTATATAAGCTCTGTCTCTCCATTGAGATTCATTCTGGCCCATCTTCCTGAACACACAACACCTCCTCCAGCAAGCTCCACGCTGTCCAGCATTCATTCAACCAGGAGGCCAGCAACAGGCAACATTGTAGTGGACGTCTCCCCTACAAACTGCGTAGCAGCCCACCACCTGCTATCACATTCCAACGTGCCGTTGCCTAGCAACGAAACTATTCACTGGCGACTTTCTGGGTTTTCCCAACATGACTCATGGCGGCTGCTGCTGGGTATATAAGCTCTGTCTCTCCATTGAGATTCATTCTGACCATTCTTCTTGAACAACCAACACCTCCTCCTCTGCCGCAGCCCTCGCATCTCCTCGCCTGCCTGGCGGTCCTCACTCCCGCCAGCGAGCATGGCGACCCACCAGCTGTCCTTCTCTGAGCTTCCTCACCAACCAACTCTCATTCTGCCCATCTTCCTGAACAAGCAACACCTCCTCCAGCAAGCTCCACGCTGGCCCCTCACCACACGGCACCTCCAGCACCAGACTGTCTATCATATAACTTATATATTATACAAGAAAACCACATTAGAGTTTCCTTCCATCCTGAGTGCTAGACAACATTAATATGTCGATACCCCTACAACATCTTCTCTAACGAAGCTCCTGCACATCTACCTCCTTCAACAGGCTACTCACCGAACGTCTCTATTGAGCAGCTCCTCACCACAGTGCACCTCCAGCACCAGACTGTCTATCATATAACTTATACAAGAAAACCACCTTAGAGTTTCCATCCATCCTGAGTGCTAGACAACATTATACCACGAATTCCTACAATATATATTGTTACGCCGTCTCTTAATTTACTTAAATATCCAGGTTCTAGGCGTAATCAAACAAAAATGTGAAGTAAATTAAAGGGGAATAAAAATAGATAAAGTAAACCTTTAAGAATTTAATTAATTAAATATTAACACAATAAAGAGCCTCGTAGGCTGTCACAACAAATGGATTCACCATCGAAACTTTTAAGACACAAATGATACTAAACATCGAAACACCAAAAGAATAAAAATAAAGCATTGGATTACGTTAACACTGCATAAACATATAAAAACTATCACTGAAATTAACTAACGTGAAACAACACTGAATTACTTGAATACAACTAAGCAAATACTGATGGACACAAACAAAGACATAAATAGGTACTCACATAGATATACCACATTGGTGGCGACAGGAACAACACAAATAAATTAAGAATAAGTAACAAGTGACGAGTGTCACTCAAAGCATGTGGACTGTATGACAAGAGAACTGGACTAACTCAAGTCAGTTGGTGGGTCCTATATATAAGGTCGGTTCCCGCCACGCGACCCGCCGGTGGGTCGTTTAACGATGCAGATGGTCGTTAGAGAACAAAGAATGCTAGTTACAATACAAAATAAAGAAATAGATGGGCTTGAACAAATAATGACAGTTAAAACCTTAACAGCACAGGGTAAGGTGACTAGAATATATAATAGTAAATATAACACATCATTACAGGAATAATATGGAACATGGGAGCATGTTATATATATAAAAAAAATAGAAAAAATACGACACGGTCGTAACAATATATATATATATATCATGTAGATCCAAAATGGAAACGTGAACAAGTTAAATATCGATAAAACCACACAAGAAAAGGGAATTAATGGAGCACCTTAGCTTTCGTCTTTATTGAAGACATCTTCAGAGGCAACTGAATAAAGACGAAAGCTAAGGTGCTCCATTGTTTCCCTTTTCCTGTGTGGTTTTATCGATATTAAATCAAGGAAAATTCGAACCTTGTATATCGTTCATTAAATTCAACCTCTCTAATGTACGTTGGTAGCAATTGGTTCATGGGAAACAATGAAGGCAACATTGTTGTAACTGAAAATGCAAGTGCAATTCTTTGTATAGGAAGAAAATTACACATTACTGTGGTTCAGTAACAGTTACATGGCTGAACCACTTGAGTTTAATAGATTTAAAAAAATCCACGAAGAGTCATTTTTAAAATTACAAGATTAAAGTAATATTGTTACTTTTGCAATAATCGTGACAATTAGCAAATACTATAATTTTTATCATTATATGAATGCTAGCTTTTACCCTTACATAGCTATTATCGAACACCAAGACGTTTAGTTACCATAAAAAGTGTTAAGCAATTTAATGTATTTTTTTTAACAGGCTAATATATTAGTAGTGATATAAATAACGTTGAAAATGTTCAAAGGAGGGCCACCAGACTGGTGCCTGCCCTTCTGCACCTCAGTACCTGAGAGATTGGAGAGCCTGAACTTGCCTAGCTTATACTACAGACGGGCAAGGGGGGACCTAGTTGAGGTGTATAAGCATCTCAGGGGGCACTACTCAGTTGAGTGTCCTTACTTGGAGCTGGCGGACGCTCGCCCCACAAGGGGTCACAGCTCAAGATTGAAGAAGCCTCAAGTCCAGAAAACTGTGAAGGCAAACTTTTTCGGAGTGAGGGTTGTAAACTCTTGGAACAATCTACCAGAAAGTGTTGTGACGGCACCGAGTGTGAGCTCTTTCAAGACAAGACTTGACCAACACTGGAGCGGGTTCAGGTGCATTCAGGAGCCGGTGCATGCCCAGTACTTGCCAACAGTGCGTAACAGAGACGTGACCGATCGCCCAAGTGGCTAACGAGCCGACCAGTGAAGAGGATAAAAAAAGAACCACGGCATTTACAAGTTGGTAATAGAGTCGGGTACCAGATAAAAGAATTGCATGATTATTATCAAACTGGCTAGAAACCTTGAATGATTAATGTTCCCAAATTTCAAGTTATGGCGTTGATAAGAAGAATAATTCACGGACTGGAAGAAATGAACGAGTCCATAATATTACCCGCAAAATCATTCTGGGGTGATAAATAATGAAGGTGGCAATATTAGTCAGGGATACATTGGTTAGGTGGGGACGGCGCGGACTCGTCAATATTAACAGGTTGCTGGTGACCTATCTAGACATGGCGGGTTTCATGTAATTTTAAATCTTGTTATATGCTGTTATACAATTCTCAGGGTGGAATTTTACTACAGAACGTGGCACTCCAAGAGAGTTGGTAATACTCGACGACGGTTGTGTATATAAACAACTTATTTTCGGCAAATATTGTTCAGTATTAAAATCAACTTATTCCTTACCTTAATAAAATCGTATATAAGTAAAATAAACTGCAATTTTCGTATTTTTTCCGCTTTCCCCTCCCATTTACTTATATATCTACGGATACTGTGTTTATCTTTCCTACTCATGTCCCACAACAAGTTTCCAACCCTTTTTCACAGCTACTGTATTGTTTACCAATTTATTGATCACAATCTATTTACACATCTTGTACTTATAAATTTTCTTCCTTTATATGTTTAATACTGTGCAAAACACCATAGAGGCATACTGTACCTGTGATCAACAGCAGTAGCGACAGTTTAAGAGAAGTCATCTTCAGTAAACTCGAGAATGAACTGTAAACACCGAAAGAAATATATATAGCTACTGTAGTATATATATTGTAGTTTTAGGTATAATCTGAAAATGAGCAAATGTGTAAAATTTATTTCTGAATTCCTAATTACTTTACACAGACTGATTGACACGTAAATATTTGTCTAATCACCTTCGTTAACTTGCACAGTGAATTACTCAGACAAAACATATAATATCATAGTACCCACTACAAAATTTCTGGTTAATGAAACATCGTTGTAGGGTAGAAATTCGTAGACTCAGAAATGCACGGTTGATGACTAGTATATGAGCTTAAATTTAAGCTGCCAGGTGGTTGAACCACAGTACATCATTACAAGAACATGAGCAGGACAAGCCTTCCTCCCTCCCTGACTGATGATCTTTACCTACAGCGGTCACACTCACCTGCTGCCGTTGTCTGCCAGAGTGGGACTCGCCGTTCCTTCATCCCTTATCTTATACACCCAGGCTACACGTCCACCACAGACGCCTGATGTCATTGATTATATCAAGTAAGTTTTATTTTTAATGATACTACTTTCTTCTGGAGGGAAGACAAATTCTAGCCGGGTTGAATTATATAAAATATAATGCATCACTGATTCACGTCAGGTATCGGGATGAGCGTTTTTTAGTGTAAAATTGTCAGACTATTCTTATGGATTAAAAATCATTGAATTGAAAGATATGGCAGGACCAGCTCTAGCTTCTGAGAGGCCCTGTGCAAGATTATAGTTGGGGGCCCCATTCCTTAGACAACCCTCCCAGGCAGGCCGGCCTTAAGCCAATTGGACCAATTGTGCCCCGCGCCTAAGGGGGCCCCGCGCTAGAGTAATCTACTCTCGGCTCGTCAAGTACACACAACACATTGCAATATATATGTAACACCACATTGCAGGTTCTACAGAGAACAGCAATTATAATTTTTTATTATTTTTTTACATAGCCGG